GCACGTGACACACAAAAATCGATATTTAGGATTTTTTTTAAATATTTACTTTTAAATTAAGAAATTAATTAATGTATAATACTAAAATTTGATACTAGACTTATTGACATATATTCATAAAATAGAATTTCAATAAAATTTTGAATGTGAGCCTGCAAATGCAATGACATGGCCTCTGATCTGTGACCATAGGAAGACCTGTGTTGGTAGGGTTATGAGAAATAAGAAATAGCTACACTTCTATATTCAGTAAATAATAAAAAAATTGACACCAAATTAGAATATCACTTATTTTACATTTCTTAACTATCAGGAGGAGAATGTAAGAAAACTCACATTTTTCTTGAACAATTTCAGGTAGTAAGTCAGTAAGAGCACATCCATATTCTGTAGCCCAACATAAATAATATTCTATTTTCTTTATAGACATTTTCAGAGTCCTTCTGTATTGAGAAGTTGTTATCCTTCCACTCTTCTCTACAAATAAAAATAATAATCATAATAAATAATATAATAACCATTTATTATTATATATTTCTAATAAAGTAGTATCAATATACACAATCAGATTAATGTAAGTGCTATGAAATCTATAATTAACTTAGTTAGTACACAACTTAGCAAACCTGTTTTGGTACCACCTTAAGAAACTTGATTATGCCTAATATCCATATCTGTATGTACGGGACATCTATGTATCCTACATGTTAAAGTAATGTATTTTCCATATTGATAGGAAACAATGTACTGTTTTTTGTAATAGCAGAAAAATTGAGTTATGATTTCTTGACTTCAAAATTTATTATTCCAGGAGATATGAGCCCATTCATACATCACAATTAACATGCCCATGATACCTGTAGGACAGATCATAACAGTTGCATCATTGTAAAAACCATAAACAGTAATAAACATTTGAAAACATTTTCTCAAAATGTGTCCTCATGAACATCATCAAGGCAGCATGTGCTTATCTTAAACATGTCCTCATGGACATTATCAAGACAGCATTTGCTTATCTTAAACATGTCCTCATGGACATTATCAAGGCAGCATGTGCTTATCTTAAACATGTCCTCATGAACATTATCAAGGCAGCATGTGCTTATCTTAAACATGTCCTCATGAACATTATCAAGGCAGCATGTGCTTATCTTAAACATGTCCTCATGGACATTATCAAGCAGCATGTGCTTATCTTAAACATGTCCTCATGAACATTATCAAGGCAGCACGTGCTTATCTTAAACATGTCCTCATGGACATTATCAAGACAGTATTTTCATCTTAAAATAGAATCCCATGTACATTATCAAGGCACCACGCGTTTATCTTAAAATGTATTATCATGGATATTATCAAGGCAGCATTATCAAATAAATATGTGTGTTTATCTGAAAACATACTGTCCTTAACATATGTTTTAATGATCCACAGTGTAGAGGAATATAGCAATAAGTCAAATTTAACTTCTACCCACAACTTATATGTGAACTAAAGTTAGAACTAAAACATTAGCAGCAGGTACGACTGCATAACAATCCATGTCTGCATTCATTTCAAGGAGTGTTACGAGATATTTAAAAAATTACTACAAACACACCACTAGGGGTGAAGAATAAAACTTGTCTTCTGAAGTTGGCATTCAAACTCCATAACAGTCACATAACTGTATGAAAGCATAATGAAACCTATGATATATAGAGAAATAATTATTACTCTTAAGATATGATAAAAAATATAGCAATACACTTTGAATAGTTTTATCTTTCTTATAATTAAATGTGGACCCTGTTATATTTATGTATACTTTATATGTGATATTTGACTTTTGCCTTAGTTGTCCAAAATCTTAAAATATTACTATATTCAAAAATAATATTAGTGGAACTTTAAAAAATTAGTATAAACTGTCAGAGTAAAATATAACAATTTTTTAATGTTTTTTCAGTTACATCATGCCTGTTGTTGGACTTGCAGCTGTTCAAGACATTCACAGAGTTGAACAATTACTTGTATTACAAAGTTTTTTCTTGTACTTGAATAAGACACTAGTTTAGTGGAAATGTGTATTACTAACTTTTTTTATTGTACTTGAAATGGCAGTAGTTCAGGGAAAGGGTGTATTACTATCTTTGTTTTCTTTGTATTTTGAAAGTAAATTCATATTTATATTGACCTAGATAATATAGGTTTCAATATTCTGTACACATAGATATGCAACTATTATGTGGATTGGAGATAAATGGTACTTATCACCTCCAGCAATTCATTTGAAGTACATCTTTGTTATCTTATATACTTTTTAATATTCTTTTTCTGTTTCATTAGGAGTAATTATCTTACTCAAACTGCTTCAGATGGTGAACACTAATTCAAGATGGGAGAGAATGTGGGCTTGAGCACCCATGTCTGCTCCTTATGTTTTTTCAGTTCTAATTTTAATGACATATGAGGCTTGTAGACAAAGTTAAATCTGATAGTGTGTGTTTATCCCCAATACCGTATGTGTTTCATTTCCATAGGTACCTTTCTTACTAGAGTAGATTTTACCTCTCCCATAACATATTATATATATATATATATATGCATTTTTTATGGCCTAGTTGTCTGAAATTTTAAAATATTATTTGAAATAAGGAGGTGCTGTTATATGTTACCTTTTGCATTCTGATGTTCCTACTAACATAAATTTATTTTGATCAAGCTAAACATACCCGTTTTAAACAGTTATGTGTAAGCTATAACTAGCAGGAATTTATCAATAACTGCAAGAGTATGAAAAATAACATTTTTAATTTGTAAACATATTAAAACTATTAGATTTCTACACTTCTTAGCCACAATGTACCTTGTAATGACAATTGTGTTGTCATGTCCTCACAGTTTCAAATCAATTCAATAGTTCATTTAATATTAGATAGTTTTTTATATTTTGACCATTTTCATAGATATCGCATCTATTAGTAGCTGAGCTAGTTTGTTACAGATTGTCCTTGTCAAATTTTTTGTTGTCTAATTCTTTTATTTTTCTTACTTATCTGTTTATAAAAATTTATAATTTTTATATACTTTTCATACATACCTATAAGTAATTTAATATAGTTTTATAAAATATGTTTAATACTCCCTTATATTCTTTTCTTTACAGTCAGTGAAACAGTTACTTTACTAAGCTAATGAGCACAGGTACGTTTTAGCATAATAAGTTTCATCTTGATCTTAATTGTAGGCATAGTTATCATAAAGGATCATTCAAAATGTCCTCCCAATTTATGAAAGAAAGCTGTCTTGTTCAAATATTTAGTATTCTAAAACTTCCATTATTTTATAAATGTTTTTCAAAAAAATTAAACCCAGAGATAAACAATTCTTGGCACTGCTATAATGGAAAATTAGTTTTAGCTCTCGTGATAATACCTCACCACATATGTAAATATGAAAGTGAACATTTTGTCTACTGTATATGCTAAAGAAAACACCTCTTACATTAATTATAATATTATTTTATTAAGTTGCATTAAATTTTATATTGACAAGTTGAATAAGACAATGAACAGAAGAGGACAATACTAAGAAATAAAAAAATGGACTGAACTACATAATTTGAAAGTTTTGTGTGTTCAGTAATATGTTGCACATATTCATCCATACTTAAGATTTTTTCTTATGTAACATTTTTAGAATGTTTATTAAGCCACATCATACTTTTTGTTAAAGATGCTTTTCTTCGAGGTGTTTTTATTGCATTGTTTTTATATTTTTTGGTCTTGAAAGTTTTTGTCATTGTATAATAACTGTTTTCCTGTGTGCATGAATCACAAAATAAGAAAACTGATAACCTGAATGTTTTCAGAAAATAGATTTTTCTTCTTCAAGGGTGAATTGAGACAACCTCCCCAAAAGTGTTTGGGTTATGAGTTTTCTATATTTTTCAACTGATCAATTTGTTTTGTATAATTCTTGATTATTTCTTAGTATTATATTGTGTGGAAATTTCTGAGGTTTGTTATTTGTTTTCTGATAATATTTTTTAAACATTAATATTAGTAACTTAAGTAAGCTTCTAAATATTTATACATTTAAAAGTGCATTTTTTATAGTAGGTAACAGAATTTACCATTATGCCAGCCATAAAGTATTATTTTGCAGTACATACAGTATTGTTTTACATCAGCCATAATGGTTTATACTATTTATTATTGGGCAGTACAAATAATGCTATTTTATGTGAGCCATAATGGTCTGTATTGTTCATTACTGTGAAGCACATAGTGTTATTTTACATCAGCATATTTACTATTGTGTTGTACATACAGCATTATTTTATGTCCAGTCATAATGTTTATAATCATGTTATATTACATCTAAATAGAAGCAAAAACACAATTACTGGATTAGCACTTTTTTCACAATTTTCACCCTACTTTTGTATACTTGAACATTATAAAAATAATTTCTTTTATTAGGAAAATATAATACATTGCATGAGATATATGCATAAAAATAATACATTATCCTGTGTGTATATTCAAACTTACCTGCTGAAATAAGATCATGTATTAGTCTAGAAGAACCACAAAATAAATGAACAGATGAGTCTTACACCCACCACAGGTCACAATGTATACATTTACACTCATTACATACACATATTGAATACAGTTTTCTCCTGTTCTTTCATCCACCAAAATATACCCCAAAAAATTATGGTTTCTTGCAGTGCCTTTCATCTGCTGTTGTTGTTGTAGTAATAAATACCAATAAATTCCTGGGAAAAATTAAGTTAAAAACCAAAAATTGCAGGGCCCTGTAAGTCACCCAGTGGAAGTGCACAGGTTAGGGTAAACAAATTTCAGGTTACTCCACTGTCTAACTATGTATGTTTTTGTGTATTATTCAAGGTGAAACAATTTAATTTTTCATTTAAGTTATCTTTTAAAAAACATATGTCAATAGACAAAAAATGTACATAAAAAATAAGAAATTTAGCACTTCCTTTAAGGATTGAGGCCTTTTGCTTTTGGAAGCCAGTCTTCATTAACCCTAAATTTTTCTCAGTAAATTGGTTGTCCAAAAATAATTAATGTAGCTTTCAAATACGCATTTTAAAACACAAGCAATAATTCAAATACTAAAACAGAATGAGCCAAAACTACTATAATATATATTGATTTCTAATTGAACTTTAAACAATTTCATTATTTACTGAAGCACTGATTTTGGTCTTTTACTTCATAAAGTCTGCTTGGAAAACAGTGCATCTTACCAAAAAGAATTAACATAAAAGACTTCATAATCATGTAGTTCATAAAATAGCCTTTCTGTTGGTTATAAACATGTACCACTGGCAATTAAATGTGAGAAAATAAATAATTTCAAAAGCACAAGGAATGGGAAGGAGTTTTTGTGGCAGGTGTAACAAATTTATTGATATCTCAAAAAATAAAGAATATTGAAGATACTTACTGTATTTT